ATTACAACACCAAACAAGAGCTAACTCCAGTATCTCCCAGGCCTCGTACATGTGATAAGTCTCAGGAAGCATGCACAGCCTAAACCAAGAACAGATGGTGTACAATGACAGCTAACTATTTTACTTGGATCTAACAGAACGTGGAAAACCATATTATTAGCATGTCCAAAAACAGCCAGGTGATGAATCATGAACAAAATCAGACTACTGGAATGAGAAACTCATATGAGAAAGTGCAAAATGTGCCAATATTAGCAAATGCACAAAAACAAGGAGGCAGCATAATATGGTAACTTTAAGATCATTTCACCATGTTAAACAACTAACCTTCTCTCCATCACATGCCACTCTAAATAGAGGATGATTCTTTGACTGAGGATCTCTCAGCACTTCCATCCTATACAAGGTACAAATACTTGGATCTAACAGACAGGAAAATCAAATGTCACAAAGTGCCAATAAAATAGGATAATCACAAGAAATTGAAAGAAAAAAAAGGTATTATGCATAAAAGACAAAATGCCTTACCTTTTACTGAAATAGATTCCCTAACAACAGTGTACCCTTCAGGCCATATTATCCCATCATCTTGGAAATATTCCGAGTCCCTGACAACTTTTCCTGTAACAGCAGTCCAACAATCCATGAGTAATAATTAAACTCCCAATCCTTTAGAAAATGGCACTTGATAATTGGAAGTAAATCAAATCTCCAGAAACTTCAACCCAGCTACATATCATTCTAACTGGATTGGCACTAACTCTAGGAAAGAGTTCGGGCATCAACAATTTACTAACTACTTCCACTAGCATAATTTCCAGCATACCTCTGATGCACACATACAACAAGCATCTATTTTAACAATACTTAACAATTTGCCAAAAAAAATCAAATTCCAAAAGGCAAAAGAGAATTGAAAGGTTGTGAATAGCCGAATATGCCTAACCATCTATGCATCAGATGCAAAATTGTATGACATCTCATCTTGTACAAATAAAGCAATTCAAGGCCACTAGAAATTACCAAGGCTAATCATTTGCATGTCTCCTATTACATAAGAAGAACCTCCAGGTCCACTAAGAGTTATCTGAATCCCCTGATTTTTTTTCCTGTGATCTTCAATGGAATCTATATTTCCTTTATCTTCACAACTTGCATCACCATCATCCTCAGTCTTTCCATTTTGTAGTTGTAACATTCTTCTTGGAAGCTTCTGTTCACACAAATAGCTGTTTGGAACAAAAGATAGAAGCACATGACTATCAACTCTTGCACACAATTGCAAGAGTGAGAAAAACGTGCTATTATACATCAATGTCATAGTAAAGGAACCGGATAACTACAAAGACATGAGTTACATCAAAGGAGAATACAAAATTGATTCGGTAGCACCAAACTTAAGGAATACCAAAAGCATAAATGCCCATAAATCATTTAAACAAGATGTAATCACCTAAAGAAAGTTGGAAAATAACGAATAGGTTAACAATCCCCACAGCTTACAAGCAAAAGCATAAAAGTCAAGAACGGGAAGCAAGGATGAGTAAGAGGCATATGCAATAACCTTTTAAAAACATCATTTTCAATTCATTCACAATGTTAGTCCAGACTATGCTTTACAACGAAACAACTGATAGACATGTATATTCCATTGGAATTAGAACAACGGATATATGCGAAGAGAGAAAACTTTCTTTATCACATTCTTTTTCATAACTTGAACTAAATGAACCTTAGCAACTAAAATAACTTACAATTTTGCTTCCTCCAAGCCTATAGTGAAATGAGGTTTCTTGCACTTCCGGTGAAATGATGAGAGAAGTCCTTTGAGAAAAGAGACCGCCTGTTTCAATTTTATTCTGACAATTACAAAAGAACTGATGAAATCAGCTCTCAAGATATAGAAGTCTAGCATCCATGTAAAACAAAAACCTTATCTCTCACAAAATTAAAATACACACCTTGCAAAATCATGGGTGCCAAAAAATTGAACCGGAACTGATCTTCCACCGGAAATCTTACTCAAACCTTTACGATCACTGATAAGTGATTCATCTACCACAATTGCTGGCCACATTGCATGACCTGCAGTAATAACTCAAAAGATAATCTCATTGAAATATGCATTAATAATGATAATTTGCTCGAAAGAAAATTCATTCATCATTAAATGCATGAAGAATATTTATAGAGCTAGAACCAGGAGACATATAAAGAGCTCCTATCAAATTTTGATGAACCTTGCAAAACCATTGCAGAAAAATTGAAGTATGATTCTTCACCGAATGCAAAAGCTTCAACAAAAAATGATAAAATTCATAGGTACACAAAATCAACTTCTAAGAAGAACTATGTGATCATCAGAGATTAAGAACGAAGGAGTCCTCAAAAATATTTCCCAACTACCACGTTCATCTCAAACAAATTACTCCAAAGTGTATCATAGCCAATAATCAATGACAGATTGACAACCCTTGAGGCCTTGACATCTCATGTCATGACAGAAACACTTTCTATAGTAAGTTGTAACTGTCTCCGAAACATAATATGAATCAGATGGATTTAGCACAAACCAGTAAGTTTTGCCCATATAACATCCCCAGGTTCAAGTTCTTGACAATCATCTTGACTGGAAGCCAACGCAACCATCTCATCGTAGTCATAGCAACCATTATTTGTACTATTAACACTGAAAGTCAGTTTCAGGCGCTCCATCTCTTCATGAGAAACATTAAACTTCAGTTTCTCATTAGAAAGCATCAAATCCTCCTTATCTCCATCTTTATATTCAACCTGCATTTGAACTTGTCAAATAATGAACAAACCAGTCCGTGAAATAAAGTATATTTCTACACCATTATATGCAAAAAAAATTCAATAATCATAGAGTAAAAAACTAATATATATATATATATATATATATACAATGGACATACATGATGTCTGTTAGACTCCGAATTGTACCCAACAACTCGACCTGAATACCAATCAGCATCCAATGGCCAAAAAACCTGTAATTGACAAAGATTTATGTCAAAATGTATGTAAGTTCAATGTTAAAAGTAGCAACTTCAAAGAGCCATCAAAATGCTTGCCTTGCATTGCAATCCAACGAATGCTTTTGGGTCAACACCATCAAAACTCAACCTATTCAAGTTACAATTTTTCCCAGTTAATATAACCAAAATATATATAAATAATCTGTATTTAAAAATGAGAAACGAGGAAAATTCAAACAAACTCCTGCATCAATATTGCAGCCATTTAAACCCAATTCACCATGACTTCTTTTAGCTATTTACTTTTACTTCAAATCCAGAAACAAAATTCATAAAGCAAAATCATTATTGATTATAGATAAACCCCACACACATAGAAGCCAGGCCAATTCCAAACAAATTTCATACATATGTTTGCATTGCACCCAAATGCATTTTTTATATCTCCGATAGAAACAAGATTCAGTAGCAAATTTAATCTAGATCAGCAATGCAATTAAATTAAGTCATATTCAATATTTACTAAAAAAAACCATATATAAAACGAAATAAATTTTAAAAAGAAAAACTGACCTGACCCATCTCTTAGCAGTAGAGGAAACAATGAAACCCCGCAGAGAATTCAGAGTAGAAATATGATTCCTTTTCTTAACAGAATTATTAACACTGCCATTATTTCTACAACCCCTCAAACGAGGGCGATCTGGCTGGCACGAAACACTCGAGTCAATCCCCAAATTGGCCAACTCATTGCTCCTAATCCTCCTCTTTTTCCTCAAAGGCTCATCAATTTCACCTTTGACCACTTTTTTTTCTCCCTCTTCTTGGAGCAAAGAATCGTTGGAGTCGCATTGGCGAGGGCGTTTATGGCGGCGAGAGTAGACATGGAGGACGGAGGGGTTGCGGGGTTTGAAGAGGTGATCGTTGTGTACAATGAGTTTACGAGCTTTGACCTTCTTGGACATTACGTTGGATGAGTTAGTGGTGCTGACGCATAAAGAAGCGGCGGAGTAGACGCGTTCCAATGAAACGTAGCGAATCGGAGTGTCGGCGTCTTCCTCGTCACCTTTCTTGGGAAATGCCATGGACGGAAGGATCTGTTGGGGGTTGGAAATGAGGGGTTTGGTGATCATAGGAAGAAGAAACAGAGCTTTTAGGGTTTTAATTGGGATTTGGGGGAATTTGGAGGGAGAGAAAGCACTGCCTTCCTTTTTTCCTATATTTGTTTGGCCCCAAATTTATCGCTTTCCCGCCGAGCAAGTACAATTGATGTTGGGAGAAATAAATATGCAGAGTAAAAATGTTTACCAACTATATAAAACTTGTTTCACATCCTCTCTAACTCTTAAAAAATTACAAAATAGTCACCCAAGTTAACCAAAGTTACAATGTAATGTGGCAGCTAATAAAACTGAATAATAGCAACCGCAACCTCTAAATTTTACACTTCATTTTAATTTAATCCACAAAATTCAAACCTCTTAAAATTGAGTATCAAGTAGTTTGCTTCGATTCATTAAGAACTCGAGTCTATTCAATTCAAGTGTTGATGGAGCTTTAACAGAGTCAAACTTGAATAACTCACGATCTATCTCATCATATTTACAACCCTAATCTTAGGGATTTAAAAACCATTTTGAAATTTAAACTTTTAAGCGTATTTAAACGGTCATATTCTCATACTCTACAATATCAATTGCACATAGATGTATTAATACAAATGGTCTAACAGCACTTCACAGCTACTATTACAAATGCCCCATAACATATGTGCAAAGGCAGCAATGTTTAGTACACTCCCAAAACAGGCCCAAAAATTGAGTGATGCAACTATACCATATTGTTCATTTCTCAATCTCTAACTATTCTTTATATGGCATTCTGATCGTCCGAGGGCCGGTCAAACTCGGTTTCTGTTATCTAGGCAATACTATCCTCCTACTTTAAGAGTTAAATTATTACCGATTCCCTAAAGCATCTGTATGTGAATTTCTAGACAGTGAAATAGTATCATTCCCCCTATCCCTATATATATTAGCATCAGAAAGTAGGCTTTTGCCTCATCCATTTGGTTGCAGACCATTTCTCTCCTGATAAAACTTCACATCCGCCATGTATGCTATTTGGATCCGACTGTCCGTCTAGCCCCTAAAAGAAGCAAGCAATACAAACAACAACGATAACAAAATCAGATAAATCCTTCTAAATCTGAAACCAAAAATATTTGTTAACCCACTAAGTTTATAACCCTCGTGAAAACATTTTGAAACAAGATAGTGTCAAGTGTCAAGAAGAAGTTAAACTGAAAAACATGAAACCTTGAGAGATATACTGTAAATTATTGATAGATGAGCAGAGAAAAGTTCAAGCACCACAGGTTTTATAATTAGCCAAATAGTAGATGAGCAAAGAAAAGTTTAATGCATACAAATAGGGCTGTAAATGAACCGTGTCAAACCCGAGTATTGTTGAGCTCGTCTCGATTCGAAAGCTTGTGAGCTTAAATTGTAAAACTCGAACTTGAAATAAAAAAATTGAAACTCAACTCGAGCTCAAAAAAAATTTAACTCGATACATTATTAGATTTAGCTTAATTGAAGCTTGAGTTCTGTTCAAGCTTGAACTCAAACTTAAATATGAACCTTAAGTACATGAAAATTTTATATTGCATTTTAAAACAACGTATAAATGTTAATATTATTAATAATTTAATTTTAAAAAATTAAAAATTAAAATAAATTTTTTAGTTGCTCTCGAGCTTTTTGAGGTATCAAGTAGCTTGTTTCGGGCTTTTGGCTCGTTAAGAACATAAGTCGAGTTTGAGCTAGAGTCAAGTCCATTTGGTTTGAGTGTTGACCAAGTTGAACTCGAGTAGCTCGCAATTTGTCTCGTCTCATTTCCAGCCCTACATGCAAAGGCGGGCAAAACGGCATTTTGAATTTATGAATAAGGGCAGGAAAACGAACCATGCTCCAGAAAAGCACTGCATCTCCTTTGATTGGTTTTACAGACATCCCCTTCACAATCTTCCCACCACAGTTACAATCACCCGTACCAGCCTGAGATTTTAAATAACATGTTTGACAAACCAATGCAATGAAATGTACAAAATCAAAGGTATTTCCAAAGAGAACTTGACAAAGAAAAACAATCTACAAAATTTTAACAAGACTGAATTCAAGATCATACTAAACATTGAGTACCAAAAATTATAGACAATGAGAAACCATATGCAAGGCAAAGTATAAGGTTTCCGATTTATAAAGGGGCAACCATCTTGAAGAAAATTCAAATAGACTTGAAGAAGCTAGAGAGAAAAAACACATGAAAGACTAAATGATACAACTCTCTGATAGGATTAATATCTAAATATTACAAGTTGAGAGAATAAATATGAGCTGCCACTACAGAATCACCAGAGATGTCAGCCAAATTTAATACACCATAGACAGATTTCAGAAAACTTCTGTGCTTACTCTTTCTAGAACAAATGCTATGCAAGTCAAGAGAAGTACCAAAAGCATTCTGACACTTAAGTCTCAAGAAAACTATAAAAGAAAAATGAGTTGAATGTTACATCTACTTAATATGATTAATCAAGCATCAAATTTCAAGCCACTTTTTTTCTTCTTTTTCTAAATGAAAAATTAATTACCATAGGGAAATATGTTTCTCCCCCTTCAACACCATCACTTAGATACATCAGCATAGTTGATATTCTTTGACCACCGCGCTTCAAGTTAAACTGCAATAAATAATGATTGCAAAGAAATAGATCAGGATTTCTCCATATCATAAGAACGGACATATCTGGCAACCGATAAATTTCACCATGTCAACTTTGGGAAAGGCGATAACTTACAGTATCGGAAAAGTAATCATGGTGGGGCTTGTAAAACTGATCCTTTTCATACCTGTACTGCACTAAATGTTAGCCTTGATAAAGAACATATTAGGTATTTTTCCTTTTGATAAATATTATACAGATATTAAGGTCAGACACCCACCTTAAAACTTGGATAAGCTCCCCATTTTCAGCTGGTATTTGAGAAAAGACAGAAATCCGCTTTTCAATTGCCTTGAGTTCAAAGGAAAAAAAATGGAGGGAAGAAGCACTCAGTTACACACTATTACAGAATTGGAGAATATAGATGTAAACAATTGCAATTCTAGAACGGAAGCATAATGCAGAAGGAAATTCATCCCAACTTCCCAAGCTGCTTTAAACAGAAGAAAGATAGGTACATCTTATACCCACAGAAACAAGAGCATGGTTCCTTTGGGTAAATGAGAACAAGGTTACAAGGGTGCAAACTTTTCTGAAGAGCGTTAGCAAGCAGTTCTAGAAATTATCCCTTAGCCCATCCAAAGGATTTGCAGAGCTTTGTAACAAGGAAATCATATAACCTGGGGATGCTCTCTCTACTTATTACCAGTCTGGTGAGCGGAGGATTTTAGACTTTAGATTATTGTGATCAGTTCGTGGCGTGTATCAGAAGTTAGTTTCTCCGCTATGGTCTCTCCCACAGGTGAGATTAGTCATGATGCCATTTTCATTAAATAAGCCAACATTCTCATCAAACCAGCTATAATATGTTTATGTATTTGTTGTGTCATTCATATGTCAATTTGGACCAAAGCTTGTGATCTTTTTCCCCTTAGCTATTAATAGATGCATTGTGCATCAGCAAAATCTAAAAGATCAAAATCATTTATGTTAGAGAGAAGTAGCCAGAAAGCTAACCTGTATCATTGGATACTTTCTCTCTGTTGGACTAAGGAACATGCCAGAGCTTGTCCTGACATTACGCTTAATTCCCTGAAAAACAGAAGCTGCAGTAAGATCGATTCTTGCTAAGAAAAATAAGGTCCTAAAAAGTAAAAGTTCTAAAGCCAGATAAAGGAAATATATATATTGTGATAAAACTTATGACCATAACTGACTTCATTCAGTATCATTATTCAGAGCATTAAAAACTTAAAAAACAGCAACATAGGAAGTGGAAGAGTATTTTTTAAAATTTGGGTAATGTACACTTAAATGCATGATGCAGCTAAAGAAGGTAAACCAAGTCACCTAATTGCAACACTCTAAAACTTAAAATAGTTAATGCTTAATCTTCCTTTATGATGAAGTAATAAGAAAGAGGGCCCTTCGTCTTTATGCACCCTGGAGTTAACCTTCAAGGGAGGAAAAGATGCAGTCATTAAGAAGGTCCGGGCCCTTGAAGAGGAATTAAGGCAGGTGGTTTGAGAGGTTGTGATTAAGTCAACCTAGTGATTGGGGAGTTTTTAATTTTTAATGAATCTGTCAATGATTACGTGGAATATTAGGGGCTTTGGGAGGTCAAAAAAAGTTAGTGCCACAAAGAGACTAATCAGAATTTCGAAGGCCATTGGAAGAGGTGAACAAGTCAATATGCAGGAAAATTTGGGGAAAAGGGGAGATGGAATGGGCTTTCAGTCTCGCAGCAGGTTCGGCGGGGGGATTCTGACTATGTGGGATTCCTTTCTCCTTCCAAGAGTCAGACAGGATCATCAATCATAGGTTTATCGTTGTGTTAGGGACGATTCCAAGCATAAATCGAAGATGTGGTTTCATTAACGTTTAAGGTTCATCCATAGATGCTGATAAAGAAAGTTTTTTTCCGAGAGTTAGTCGAGTTCATGGAAAGTTTCTCAATTACTTGGTACTTGGGAGGGGACTTCAACGCATTCCTCTCCTCTGAGGAAAAGATCGGGGCTTCAATTAATTTCAGAACTGTTGGGTGGTTTAGAGAGTTTATTCAAAGAGCCACGTTGATTGATTTACCGGTGGCAGAGGAAACCTTCACTTGGTCTAATAATCGCGAAAAGGCAACCTTCGTAAGATTGGATAGATTTTCCTCTATTATAAGTCTCATTAAGAAGAATATTTTCAATTAGCAAGAAATTAACATGCCAAAACATTTTTACACCATTAGCAAGCAATTCAAGGAAAACAGAAAGTTTTCAAATATACCTTCCGTAGCAGATTCTGTTTCATCCACTAGAAATGAAAAACCTATTCCTGCGTGTTGCCATCCTCCTCCTGAGGGTTTCTTCAAGTTAAACATTGACGGAGCAGTGAACAGGGATTGAAAGGCAGGGGGCATTAGGGGCTTACTTAGGGACTCTTCCAGAAATATTTTGGATTCGTTTTCAGAACCTACTGGACCGGGTCCTTCGACTTTAGCAGAATTGAAGGCAATCAAAGCTGGGTTATTGGCTTTTTTATCGTCAGAATGGGGGCCAAAGGGTCGTTTAATCCCAGAAAGTGACTGCAAAAACGCTTTAGAATGGTTAAAAAATCCTGCTTCATGTCCCTCTTGTTACAAGTCCATTGTTAGGGAGATCAGGTCTTATGTAATGTCAAAAAAGGTGTTATTTTGCCTTATACAGAGAAGCACCAATTGGGAGGCGAATGAGTTAGCAAAAAGAGGAATTGGCTGAAGTTAGGAATTCCTAGGTCTAGTTTAAGTGGTTTGCTCATTGTAATGGGGTGTCTATTTTGATCAGGTTGTACTGTTGTGGGTTCTTTTAAACCCTTTTCTTAATAATACTTGAGGTACTTTTTTCCTCATTCCGCTGTTTGTCGGTCCACCCTCATGGTAGATTGACAATTAAGAAGAGAGTTTTTAATGAGACCTCCAATTCTTATAAAAAAAATACCTTCCCAGTTGTTGCATCTACCACGGTGGAAACTTGAAGTCGAGGGCGGGCAATGGCTCTAAGGTAGTCACATTCCTGCAGAGTACAAAACAGTAGAATATAAAGCTCTTCTGTGTCGAATTACACATGAATATAGCATTTCCAAACGGCTAAAGCTAGGTCAACGTGGTTATTTTAGAATATTATCAGTATCATTAAGCCGCCGATGGATGAAGGTTGGGAGAGCACAGATATTCAAAAGGAGCTATTCAGTCTTCTACCCTCCCGCTTTCGTGAACAGACAAAGTTTTACTAGGAAAATCTCTTTTACGGCCTCAAAATATATTTTCACCTAGCACTCAATCATTATGAGTTTATTCTTTTCTTTTTCTTGGTACATAACTAAATATATCTAAGTGTCAAAACATCATCTTTCACTTCTACCATATTTTAGAGAGAACTTTTATTAGAGAATTTTCAGCTGAATTGCTATTACCGTTGTGTGATACAATCCACCATCTCCTAAGGAATCCTAGATTTACAGCTTTTATGAATATTTTTTCTTCAATTTTATTCAATTTTCCATGATTTCTTACAAATTTAGATCTTAAAGCTGCCAAAATGCCCTAATCACATATATGTCTTTCTAATTTTCTATATCAGCTAGTCATTAAATAAATCAGATCCACAGTGATAATTTCTAGTATTACAATAAGCTCTCAATCATTGATGGCATAAATACCTCGTTGCTCAGGAAACTATGAAGTACAATAATTCGAGGTGCCCAGCTAATTATTTCAGGTTTGACCTGCATCATCAGAAACAATATTGAGTCAAAAATTTTGTTTGCCTTATGAAATCTCTGGACCAATTTCACACAAGTAGAAAACCATATACCAAATTCAAATAAAGAGTAAATAATTCATCTCCAATTATGATTAAGTCCATACTTTGCTTGCCTCTAATGTGCATAAAGGCTCTCCTTTTTCTCTCCTTTATATCACAGTTTGCTCAATATACTCCATATTCAATCATGAAAGAGCCACTAGACAAGCGATTATATAAACAGTGAGACTTCCCCATCTCCTTTCCTCCATCAATCCCCTCCAAATTCTGGTATATTAATTTATCCAATATAATTTTGCAGCAAATATAACTCCAGTTATAAGATAGGCAACTAGAATGTGTGAATTGTCTACGATAAAGCCGTGCAAGTCTTAAGTATGATTTATATTCTGCAAATGGCTTAGAGTTGCAGAGCATAAAAGTTTAGGTGAGATTGAGCTTAGTCTGGAACACCAAGTCCATGGGGCTTGTATGAGAGGGCTTATTCAGATTAAAACATATTCCTTTCCTAAAATTGGGGAAAGGAACTTAACAAAAACATTAATCTTGATTTTTTTTAATAACATTAATGAATATAGAACATAAGCTTATGTTAAATTAAGAAAAATGAAGAAAATAAAACAAATACTAGTACATGCAAACTTAGAATATTTTAAAACAGGACAACGCAAAGTCCAATGCACTAGTCGTTAAGGGAAATATTTCATTATAAGCTTTCTATATTCCTTTTCCCCAAGCAAATTTTAAAAGATTCTTTTATCTTAAAATTTAGGCTCGTAGCTCTCCCTGAACTTCAAAAATGACAGGAAAAAGGTGAAGGCAAAAAAGTAAAAGAAACATACAAATCCAAGACGCAAAATTTCTGCTTCTTTGTTGCCGTGCCAATGACTCATACCTGAAATTTTAAAAAATGCGAAGAGACAAAATACAACAATGATCTTGCAGTAAAAAATACATCTTGGCTAAAATCAAAGATTCATTCCTTAACCAAAGTTCAATTATGTTAAACAAATTTCAATTACTTTATTGTTCGAGAACAAATCAGAACCATACCGACCTCTTGGCAACTTAAGATATCCATCACTCCGACTTCTATGCAATTTTGTAGATGGAAACTCATCACCTATTAAACATGTGAGATAAATTTTCAAAAGAAATTATCATTGAAAATTTTCCAGTGGTTATTGTAAGTAGAAAATACTTCAATAATGCAGTAAAACAACTATTTAAATAAAATCAAAGCTTCATAATTTGCAAGGATAAGCTCTCCGAATTCCAGAAGATATCTTTTAAAGGTTTCATTTTGCGAGGATGAGTTCTCCAAGTTCCTGAAGAAGTCATATCTTTTAAATACCTAGCAAAAGCAAATCTTGGAATTTCTTAAGTTAAGCGTACAAAGAAGAAAATCCGATTTTGGATGACATCAGGCATTTTAGGTGGTAAAGGAAAGTTAAACAACTTAAATCTCAAACTAAGATTGTTGAAGAGGTTTGCTCTACTCACTAAACCTATAAGGAAAAATATGAAATCTAAAAATATTTATGTTGAAGATTTCATAGATACAAAAAAAAAATACATTTACACTTCATTTTCCTAAAATCCAGATTCTTGCATAATAACAAAGAGGAGAATCAAGTAATAGAGAAACCAACATACAGAAGATGAATAATGCTAAAAGATAAATGATGAGAAGTATACCGTAAGAATCTTCTAATCCGCGAATGAATGCTAGCTGAAACAAAGCCCCTGCATTTCCCAATATCATCAACACTTGAAATAAAAATGAATCTATGCATCCAAACAATTGAAATATTCAATCCGTGCTCCAATTCTACTTTAGATTTCAATATCTGTAATGAAATCTCACTCCTCAACCATGAACTACACACCATAATCATAATAAAATTATGAAAACCAGCCAAGAAAAACAAAACCCATTTCTAATCTCAACCAAATACATCTACCGAATCAGCTAAATCTCCCTTGCGGAATGCATATTTCGAGGAAGAAAAGAAAACCCGTTATTTTAAAACCATATAAAGTGGGAAAGCAGCCAACATTAAAGAAGCATAAAAGAACAAGAAATACCCGCCAAGGTGTTGGAACTCGAAAGATTGAGTTAAAATAAAATTTCAAAAAGATAGTTGGAAAAAGATGATTTTTTTTTATCAAATCGAATGGAAAGACATACCGATTATCATTCCAACAGTGACAAATGTTAACAATCCGAAAACAATCTTCATCGCAGGGGCCATGGCCTGGGGGAGTTGGCGTCCCAAAAACTATGTTAGTTTAACTTCGATTTGAGTAAAAAGCAAATTAAGAACAATCCGCTTTCACGCCCCTTGTATTTTTCTTCCTCCCTGTTGTCTGAGTGATCTTCAATTTTGAAAATTACTTGGTTTTTGCATGGATCTAAGTTCCTCCACATTCATATAGCTTGTTTATACGTTGGCGTAATGTCTAATTTCGCCATCACTGTTCTTTTTCTGATATAATACTATAATATTTAAAATAAAGGGTAAAGTATAGAAATGGTCACTAAACTTTTCGAAAGCTTTCATTTAGGTCTCCCAACTTTAAAAACTTGCAATACAATCCTCCAATATTTAGTCCGTTTGCAATATGGTCCCCCGTCGTTATATTGTCGTTAGTACATTTGCAATATGGTCATTAAACTTTTCAAGCACTTGCATTTAGGTCTCCCAACTTGTAAAACTTGTAAAATAGTCCTCAATTTCATTTTAAACCCTAAATTCCTTTTCAATCTCGAATTTCCTTTTCGATCTCGAATTTCCTTTTTCGCTTCTCTCTTCTCATTTCCAACGTAACTTTTCATTCAGGGATGCATTGGAAATTCTAATCTAACTTTGAATTATGTGGAGGTGTTGACTTGAATAAGGAGTACTGAATATCTTTCATAAGGAGTACTGAATATATTTTATAAGGAGTACTAAAAGTTTTGATTAAGAAGAAATAAAGAAAATTAGATGGTTTTGGTTCAAAACTAACACTGAATATCCAGATCATTGACATGCAGTTCCAAAAACATAAAAATTTCAATAAAAAAACACACAAAGCGAGCTGAAATGGGAAAGTGTGAAAGAGGAAAAAGCTTACTTTCAGATAGCCCAAAAGAGATAATAAATATCTTCTCACAAGTGAGGGGATAGGCTAATAAATAAACGCAATCGGTGTTGCGTTCCAGCAATTCTTCCTCCATTTTTTCTTTGTAAATAAAAAGCTGAAAGACAAAGCACTGCTTGGGTTTACAATTTTACATGGCGGAAAATTGAAGAACAAAAACCAAACGAGAGTGCTTGTGAGCGAAAAATACTAAGAGGTGAATGTGTTGTTTGGGATTTCATTATATTTGATCATCTGTTGGAAAATTTTTAACCACAATGATCAAACAAAGAAATTATTATATGTCATTTATACAAAACAATTCAAGCTTTGTTGGTGACTTTCAACAATGATACTTAGTTTATCTTAGTAGTATTTGTCAACTCTGCATTTCTAACCCCATTTTTTCTCACAAACATTTCATTAAACATCTATGCTTCACCTGAGATGACATGTATCTAACATTACACCTTGAATCGTTTATGGTCTCGATAGTCCATTGGTTGGGTCTTATCTCAATGGACCCTTATTCAAGTCAACCCCTCCACATAATTCAAAGTTAGATTAGAATTTCCCATTCATCCCTTACTGAAAAGTTACGCTGGAAATGAGAAGAGAGGAGCGATCGAAAAAGGAAATTCGAGATTGAAAAGGAGTTTGGGGTTTAGAATAAAATTAAGGTCTGTTTTAAAAGTTTTAAAAGTTGAGGGACCTAAATTATAACATCCCAAACAACGAGTTAGTGACTAAATTGTAAAAATTTAGAATTTGGTGATTAAGGTAGAATAATTGAATAGTTCAAAAATGATTGTTAGTAAATATGAAATGAATTAAAGGATAAAATGGTCATTTGCAAGGTAAAATAATTAAAATTTTGGATGGGTTTATATTAACCCACGTGGAAGAGAAAGGAAGGCAAAAAATTGGTTCCAAGTTCTATTTTTCTTCTTCACGGTGGCTTTGGGCTACAAGGTAAGTTGAATTTTTATGGTTAATTTCTGGAATTTTAAAGAGGGTTTTGATTGTTTAGATACTATATAAGCTAAATGAAAGCTTATATGACATTAAAACAACAAGATAAATGTTTTAGAGATAGATTTGAAAAATGGGTTTTTAGATGAAATTTTGATATGGATGAGTTTATGAAGTTTGAATAAGATTTTTGACTCGTCAAAAGGTTAATTAAGGAATATGGAGTGTTAGAATTGATTAATAACATGTTTGAAATTTGGGTATGATTCTTAGTTTTAAGAATTTGAATGAAGTATTGGAAATAATGAAGTGTTGAAATGATAAAAGTTAGTTAATATGGTTGTAGTTAAGTTTGGTGGTATGAAAGGAACTTTGTATGAGAAAATTTAGTGAAGAGTTGATGAATTTCGGGTTTGAACAGTAAAATTTACAGATTATGCAGAGGGAATCGATTTCCCCTAAAGGAAAAGGTTGAAGTTTGGTTTATTAATTAATCTAAGTTGTTAGTATCAAATTACAAGGGTTAGGCTTCTAATAACCATCTTGAAAATTATGTTTATGTAGATATAAAACGTAATCCTATTCTAGAACAATCGAAGAGTTAGGATTGAATCAACGAAAGCGAGGCCAAGGTGAGTGCATATTATAATTATAGTACAATGGAATAAGACTTGTGATAAGTCTAAATCCTATGTTGATTTTTATAGTACAATAGTTATGAACATTCATACATGATAATTATTATGATACATGCATAAGGTATATATGTTCATATGATTCGATAGATTATATATGTGAATAGATTCAAATGCACATGTGATATTATAAGTGATATGAATTATATGATTTCAAGATAAATGACATGAGCACATGAACATATGAAACATAAGAATAATGCCCATAGTATACGATATGAGAGCTATAGGTATAGTTGGCATGCCAAGAGTCGAGGGTTTCATAGGTCCTTCGGGACAACTTATAGGTCCTTCGGGACATATTCACATGTCCTTCGGGACAAACTTCATATGCCACTCAGTGGGACTTATACGAGCTGTGGTGACAGTAATAGTGCACAACCTCAATGTACTCGAATACCTTGAGTTCTCAGTAATGTACATGGGCTTATAAAATGTTATTAAAGGTAATTGCATTATTATTGTTGTATGTTACCATATTGAATTACATGTTATATGATTGAATGGATAGATTGTGTGTCCATATTCATAAGGAATGTATCATTATTATATTTATATGCCTCACTAAGTGTCTATGACTTAGCGTGTAAGTGATTTACACGTAGGTACCAAGAATCAAGAATAGCGGAAATAGAAGTGGCAAGAATAACAACACTGCTAGAAGATCAGATCAGAAGTAAATAATAAAGTATGTATTTTGATTGTATATAGTATGTTGGCATATAAGAAATGTTTTAATAAGAATGCTCTGATCGACTTTTCTAATGTTTTGAACGTATTCATGTAAATATAAATGTATAGTAATTAACGGTTAATTTTTTTATGAGTTTTATGTAAGTTTTACGAAATCACTGTAGCAGTAATGTAGCAGTGCATCGATGCACAATTTGTATTCGAAGTTTTTATGCATCGGTGCATTGTAGCATGCATCGATGCATTGTAGCAGGTTATTGTTCACGGTATTGTAGCAGTTACTGTTCATACGTATTTTACTGTTCATAAAAGAAGAAGAAAAATATTTCCTTAAATTGGTTATAATGAAGATAATTAAACAGTATATTATAGTATTTCCTTAAAATAAGTTCAAAGGTTTTGTTATTTTGTAAGGAAAAGTGTTTTAAAAATGCAATGTGACATCTCGGACTCGTATTCGGGTCGGGTACGGGTTGAGGGTGTTACATAAATGCAAGCGCTTGAAAAGTTTAGTGACCATATTGCAAGCGTACTAACGGTAGTGTAACGACAGGGGACCATAAATTTTTTTAAAAATAAATTATATATGTTGAAAATATAACACATAAATTTTGAAATAAACCAAAAACTTTGAAAATCTTCATTTCAACCCCTAAACTCACATCGACCACAACCCTTTCCCGTCGATGAAGCTCCACTCATCCTCACCTCCATTAGGAGATCAAAACTCCTATTAAATCGTGATCGATCGACGAACGATCGACAACGAATCGATGTTTTATACCCCTCAAACCCTATGCTGAAAATCACAATCCTACGTGATTCCTATGAAAAATCAATAGCAAATATGATAGCATATGACTTGGAGGATGGCAGGGACTACGCTAGTGGTGGTGGCTAGAAAGAGCGATAGTGTTAGATTAAGGGTATGCTTTAGAAATTTGGGGGATTTGGGGTTATTTTATAATTAAATAGAAATTAGTTTTTTTATAAATATAATAATATTTTTTATATTTTAAAATAAATTTCAAAATATCAAGTTGTGACACGTGTCACTTAATAGGAGAAATTAACGTCATTGACGGCCCGAGTACCTAAATAGGTAACGATTGTAACGTTAGGAACCTTGATAGATCAAAAAAATACTATAGACACCTATTCGTGAAAATATGTATAGTTTGAGTACTTATTTTATACTTAAGCCTAATTTACACATACACGAGTCCTTCTTCTACTCAATCCACCTTTGTTCCGGTTCATATCATCATTGACGATATCATTGTCACCTAGGAAATTATTCACTAAATGCTCTTATTCTTTTTCTTACATCGTTGACGTCTTCATTTGATTTATATATTTTAAAATTTTTAATATTATGTTTGTCCATTGCATTTGACGTTCGCAAACATACTTAGTTATATGTTGGTTTAGGGTTTGACAACATCTTTGTGTTAATGTTTATGATTGTGTTAGTGAATTTAGTCCTTAAAATCTTTAGGATTCATTGTTTGAATTCTAAAGATCACCCTGTATTCAATTTAGCTCATACCATTACTTGGGTTTAAAATGTAAAAGAAAAAAAAGGAGAATCGGGTAAATAACTGTATAAACAATGACTTTGTTTGTAAACATAAATTATTCGTGTACAATAGTGATGTAAATGAGTCGAGCTTAAATGAATAAAATTATGTTTGTGTTTGTTTATTTTTGAAGGTGTTCATGTTTGATTCATGTTTATTTAAATTTTTAGTATCATTTTCATGTTCGTTTATTTATTTTTGAAGGTATTCATGTCTGGTTCGTGTTCATTTAAATTTTTAATATCACGTTTATTTATTTATTTTTTAAAGTGTTT